AAGAAGAAGAAGAAGAAGAAGAAGAAGAAGAAGAAGAAGAAGAAGAAGAAGAAGAAGAAGAAGAAGAAGAAGAAGAAGAAGAAGAAGAAGAAGAAAAGTAACTAAAAATATATGATCTTGAGAAACAAAATAATGAAGGGGTTTGAAGAATTTGGAATTTGGGAATGTGGGTTTTCTTTGGAAGATAAATTAGGTGTCTAGAGAGAGAGAGAGGAGGAGAGAGAAGGGGTATTTAGTTTACTTTTGGGGTTCTTTCTTTCAGCTTTTGTTATATAAATAAATGGGCTTTTAAAAATTTCAGCTTTTTGGATCAGCTTTTCCCTCTCAGCTTTATTTCCCAGCTTTCTTTCTTTCTCTCTTTACTTCTTCCAACCATCTTCAGCACATGTAGTTATTGAGTTTCCTCAAATGAACTTTTCAAAAGGAGAGAGAAATCAAGCAAACCAAAAATATATTCAGAAAAAAAGAAAAAAAAAACAAAAGTATTTACTAAAAACATGAAAATCAGCTTTACTTTACTTTCACTTCCATGCATTGCATATTTATAGAGAGAGAGAGAGAGAAATAGGGATATATATTCAGATCCAAACAAACAATTATCCTTTCACTTCCATATTAAAAAACAAAAAAAGAAAAGGGAAAAAAATTCATGGTTGAATAAAACAGTGGTGGTAGAACATGACATTCAACTTTTTCAGACGTGTAAATATGGCAATAGTTTCTTTTGAATATTATTTGTCTAAATATGAACCTTTTTTTTTGTGTTTTAAAATGGAGTTTCTTTAATTTCTTCAAGAATATTCTATAATTAAAAATAGGATATTTTTACTTGTTGTCTTAAGAGAGAACATTATCGGTTAGAAAGTAAAATATAGTGTCACTCTGCAAGCTGAGTGGTACATGATTTAACAAAAATTCTGTCGAAGAGACAATTTTATTTGTAATCTGTTTTTTAAGAAATTTTTCTAACTCAAGATGGTCGAATTTACCCTAAATTTGTAGTTTGTTTGGAAATTAAACACTTTCTAAATGATAAAGAAAAAAGTACGGTATGCAATATAATATTGACGAATTAAGTATATTTTGTGTCTTTTCATTCTAGTCTCTAAAATTTTAGAATGTTTTATTTTGATTCTTTTTCAACTTCTACGAAGAATTTAATTCTCGATCCTTGTCACAAGTACTTTGCATGGTGACCATATTGCTATTTTTACCATAAATATGAAAGGTACGAAAGAAAGGCTCAAATTGAAACTTCGAAGATAAATGTAAAATAGAAGAGATAAATAAATATTTGAGAACTATATAAAAGTCAATATATCCGTTTATTAAACAAATTATATCGTGCACTTAAAATCATTAGGGATACAAACAAACATGTCATCCATGAAAGTAAATGTAAAACATATGTATTTTYCAGTACCAAATATTGTAATTAAGACCAATTAGTTATCCCGTAAAATTAGTCGAGATACGTACAAACTAGTCTGAAYACACTTACAAATATAAAAAACAAACAAMAAAACGGAAAACAACCTTTAAAAACAGAGTTACCCAAAAATATTTTTATCTTGATAAATAAAAGAAAGTGAAAAAAGAGGTGTAATGACGAAATTACCCTCTTGGTTTGGAGGTAAGGTAGGGTTTGATTTGTTTCATCCAAGTTAGGGAGCAGCTTTTGTAAAGGTGAATCAGGTGGGTGGTAAGGATGTAAAGTCACCYTCAGGGGTATGGTGGTCAATATCATCATAATTATTATATGTGTGTAAGATTCATAGTCCCCCCTTTTTCCACATGCATACAAAAGTAACAAGTTAAAAATAATAATGATACAATATTTAATAATAGTAATAATAATATATATCAGTAAATGGGAGAGATTTTTTTTCTGAACATAAATTCAGAGGTCAAAGATACACTCTACTGCTCCATTCAACCCTTCATCATCATTTTATCTCCCCATTTCTATTTTCTTTTCTTTCATTTTTTGATTATCTATCTAAGAACCCCTAATTAATAATATTTGTTCAAATTTATTTCTAATTATAACTTCCAATTATGGCCATTTTACTTTAATACCAAAGTACATTTATTAACAAGTCATTTAATTTTAACGTGGTATAACATCTCTATAATCATCCAATAATCGCGTCTGTTAGAGAAAAGAAAAAAAAAAGATATTTAAGATAATTTAGTGAGGTAACATCAATAATATATGTACCTGTATTTCGTCAATTTAAAAGATAATTTTCATTTAGTATTATGATTAATTTTATTCTCGAACTCAGACCAAAGATACATATAAAAAATTATAAGTCATTACACCAACCTAAATATAACTTAATGATTAAGACATATATATAGCCTATTTGATAGGTCAAAGGTTTATATTCATGCTGTAATAATATATTCTAAAAATAAAATAAAATAATCTAGTAAGTCTTTAAAATATATTTATCTTTATTATTGAAAGGTGAGATAGTTGAGAATTATAACTTTGTACCTATTTACCTTTATGTAATTTTGAATTTATGAACTTAATATGTCGCAAAATGGTAATTTGGGATTTATTTATTCAACTACTTTTATTAAAATTAAATATATATATATATATTGTAAAATTAAAATAAATTACGTTAATAAAAAATGTTCATGAAATTTTTGAAATATACATTACACATGTAAAAAATAATTACTAGTAACCAAAAAAAAAAAAACTCAAAGTTCAATCACAAGAAATGCTAAAATCCTAAGACTCAATCTTATGCTCAAAATGAAATGGTCAAAGACATTTCCAACGCAACACCAAAAATCATCAAAACCCAATCAAAATGCGATTACATAAAGCAAACATTCATGAAATTAAAAATAATAATAATATTACAAAATTTAAAGTTTAATTTATCTCACTCAATTAAAAATTGTCTTGCACAGAACAAATAAATAAAAATTGTCTTCGGGAAAAGAAGTAACAAAAATTTGATGGGATTTGTCTATGCAGCATTCTTTTTTTTTTTTTGAGAACATATGCAGCATTAATTAAGATTTGATTGATAGATATGGTGAAATTGTACCATGAGTTTGATGAATATAATATATATTGGGGTTTTGTGAAATGAATTGACAAGATAAATGAGACTCAAAAAGGGCTGTGGACTGCAACATTCCATGCCATTCCTCCCTGTCACAACACATTCATTGCATATGCTATGCACTTCTTTTTTTGCTTTTTTTTCACACCAAAACCTTATAATAACCCTTCAATTCCCCTTTTTAAACTAAAGTTTTTGTTCTTGTGGACAACCGATGTTGTAATTTATAAACCAACAAGGTTTTATCTTGCGTATTCATTCAATTATTTACTCTCTTGATAATCTAAATATATCTTAATAATTTCAGTACTTATTTTCATCACAAATGTCGATAGTTTAAWTCGCTGYTCATAATTGTTGAACTAAAAAAATCACTAACTACCCCTTTCTCCCATTTTACCTCTAGTCTCATCTAAATTGTAAYGTTGTTTGTATTATGAGAAAATTGCCAAACACGAGTACCAATTCAGCAATTAAGACATATTACTTTTTTTAATGGTTGAAAGCTTAATCCCTCATCTAACATTTATTAAATCATAAACAAACATTATAATAGGATTAATGGTYGAAGGCATTAGCATAACTTCTACCAAAAGTTAGAAATTCGAAAGTGATTCGAACTAAAAAAAAGTTTCATTTGAAACTAAAAAATGTAAGTTTGAAGGATTAAATAGCATAGTTTCTCAAAAAAAAAAAAAAGTTACTTCTTATAATAGGATAAAGAACAATTTGGGACAATTAATAACTTATATTTAACACACTTAAAGCAAAAAGCAATAATTAAGAGGGAACTAATCTTAGGCCACACATTATTCTGAAGTTATCTTCTTAAGGCGACGATCACATCTTATGTTCTTTTATTATTTTCTTTCTGAAGCTCAGAGAAAAAAAAAGTATTATTTACAACTTTTCCAAAAGAAAATACTTGAATATAATATTGATCATTCAAGTTCAAATAGCAATCAAATATTTAAATAAACGCTTACAACCACCTAAAAATATTAACATTCAAGGTCTGATACCAAATATTAGGAATAATAGACCCTCAATATTTTTACAATGGTATAATAGTGTCCCTTGTAATTAATTTTTATAAAGTCTAAGATGTTATCTCTCACTTATACATCCATAATCTTCTTTTTATGTAGCCAATATAAAATTTTGATCGTATTTTTGATCGAAACATACCTAAAGAAAATAATCGATAAGGTCATTTTTCCATCTAATTTTCTACCGCTTAGATTTTTTTTTCCCTCCGGAATGGCATAGAGGGAAGAATATGTGGCTGACCCAAACTGCTCCATTTGATTTGTTTGAAAAACAAAATTTAAGTTCTACCCTTTAAAATAAAAATTAAGTAAAAACATTTTTGGTCGATTATTTTTAAAAAATAAAAAATTCTTATTATAAAATCATAACTTCATAAGTCAGC